GTGTTGTGTGGTCAGAATAGGAAGGCCGATGTCTATGTGCTGTGCTTTTTAGATTTACAAAGGGCTCAGAAGTTGAAGCCCCACATACGTGCGCCCTTCAAACACAAAATCTATAGAAAGTATCAAAATCTTAGCCGAAATCCAATCATGATTAGTACCCCTCATCTTTCACAACACTTTCATCTCACATCTCTCATTCATCCACACATATATTTGGAATTAATACAATGGCCATGAAAAGCCTGCAAAGTGAGCCTCTATACTCCATATATAAGAGCATCATCCACATACATTAAAAGGGCTTTTAGCATTAAATTAGCAAGTCTACACAACGATTGGCTTCTCTTGATAAATTGTTCAAAGCAACAATTCAATGTTATGTTGAAGGTGCTCGAATTTCGCCAATCCATCTTCAAAGCAAGTGATCCTGAGAATTGATAAAACAAAGTGATCATACTGAGAATTGATAAGACACAATGTTTCTGTGAGATTATAAAAAAAAAATAATAATTTTTCAGCTCTCTGGCTCCCAGTCTATTTTAAAGCTACAAGAATCCACAGAACCTCGACAGAAGTGGGTCTAACAACAAACGCGCACACATTATAGTGCCGATTTTTCTTTGTTGGTGAGCTTGAAATGATAGTGGTAAAGATTAAGGCAGGAACGAAGCATAACTTGCATATGTACAGCCTAATACTGTTGGTAGTTCTAGGAATAATAAATAATTATTAAGTTGTGAAGGTTAAATAGGGATACATTGAACGTGATGGTTAAATAAAGACAGATAGAGTAAAAGAGTACTTAAAAGAATACTGGGGAGGCGTCTTGAATGTTAGAAAGAGGTTTGAATTTGCGTGTAAAATGGATGGGTCAGGCCTCATGTTGCTGAGTCTACAATACTATAAAATACCCCATATTCACAAATCCCAAATTGGGTCTATTTGTTGACTTTTTTCCCCAAAAGTGAGGTCTGGAAAGATTTCATCAAAAGATTGGGGGAAAATAGGGTAACAGCAGATCTACTTCCTTTTGACAATTGGCTATAGCTTAATATATTACTCGTCCACTTGATCCGTGGTCTTGGGCATATGGTGAATGTAACAGAGCTGGTTGCTGACTATGTCGATATTGGAGGACAATGGAATAGAAACAAGCTAGCAACAGTCCTTCCCCTGGCATATGTTGACCATATTTTGTGTGCACACCTATTTCGTGAAAAAGAGCACAGGGTAAATACACTTTGGAAACCATCTACTGATGGCCAATTTACAATTAATTTTGCTTATAAATTTCTCCTTGTAGGTACTGAATAGCAGGTGGACAATATTTGGAAGAAAATTTGGCAATTACAGGCACCAGAGAAGGTCAAGTATTTCATGTGGTTGTTTTCATATAGAAGAGCTCATACAACAGAACTCAGACAGAGGAGGGGTTTCGAGATGACAACAAATTGCCCCTTTGGTTGTGAGGAACTTGACAATGATATGCAATTGATTCGTGATTGTACTAATGCTATCCATAGATGGCAGCAATCAGTTATTGGTCTAGTATTTTGGAGTCATTTTACTTCCCTTTAAGAAATAGACTGGGTCAACTGAAACCTCAGTCATTTTACTTCCCATATGTTGGATATTCCTTTTTATATCTTTAATCACCCTCCACCTTTTTAGGAAGAGGTGGACGATGATAAGAGATTGAGATTGCCCTTGATCACATTACTTCCCATATGTGTTATTTGATGTTTTTGCAATGATTATTGTTTCAATTCAAAAAAATATTGAATCCTCCTTCCCATTCTTCTATTTTCCTAATAGAAATGTTGGTCTCCCTTTTGATCAATGTCAAAAACATAATAAAAAATCCCTTATATATGTTTGTTTACCTGATAAAAAAAAATATATAATTTGTCCTTGATCACATTACTTCAACTGGATGCCATCTTCTATCTGACAATTTGTGTTTGTAGAATCTGTTGTAAAAATTGCAAAAGGGGTGCAAAGTGTATCAGGAGTTTAAATCCTAGCCAAGGACATGTGGTTTCTTTCTTCCCTTATCTCGATGTTTTACACTCCAGTCAAGATGAACACGTAATAGAACTTGACACAATTATTTATTGATAATAGACCATTTTGCAAAATTTAACTAAAAGCAATAATAATCCAAATCCTGCATTTCTTATGCTGTAAACACTAGTTGTATAAATAAGTTGGTGAAAATGTATCATAAGATCTAGTGGTCAGTCACAACTTGCACTTTACAAACTAGCATTAGGAGGGAACGCGACACATAAATATTCATTAAATATAGCGAGCATATTAAATATATAGGACTGACAAGGCAGAATTTTTTTTTTTGGACATATTTCACAATTCATGTCATTTACATAATTCAAGAAGATATTTTTTCCGGTTCTAAATATAAGACTTGTTTTGTAATGTAATTTATAATATAAAATAGATTTATATTTAGGACCGGGGAAGTATTAAATAATTTATTTTTTATTTTGTCCCTGTTAAAGCACTCGTTAGTGGTCAAACAATATTTATTTAAAGAGTATTTATTAATAAGTCTACAATATTATAGACTTTTCAAATATTAAGTTGTTCACAAAACAAGCACACCAGAGAGTTAAGAAAATTATGTTAGAAAAATGTTTGAATCTACAAGTGGTCCATTATCATTTACATTAAAAACCACATTTTTATTATCATTTATATTGTATAGGCAATAGAGCAACCCCACAAAATAGGTTAGTGATGAAAAGAATGAAAAGAAAGTATAATTCCACTTCTGGGACCACATTTTCATTTTCATTGCATTATTTCATTTATGGTCAGTCTTATAAGCCATAAATAGATAATATAACTCAAAAGATTAAATCATGGCAAGATTGGAAATTTTGTGTGATTTTTGCAATCAAAATAAAGGAAATTTTGTGTGATTTTTGGCTATGAAAATAACAAAAAGATCAACAGATTTTTCATTAATGACTATTTTTATTTTGCGTTTTGCCTAGTATATTGAAGTTTTTCCTGGCATTATTTGCAAAACTTACTACGAATGTTGATGATATGACGAAGGAAGAGATGTTAAACATGTTAAGATTAATGATTTTTTGGATAACTGCAAATATTAATATATTAAATTGTAGGAATTGCAACCATGAGATTGAAAGCTAAGATATAGCCAATATTTCATGAGTATTTTTTGCTGCTGCTGTTGATTCTTCTAACTTATTTAGGAAACTGGAGCTTAGAAAATTTAATTGTGAAAAATAAATCCATATGACTAATATTAATTATGAAGTTACTTTTTTTCCTTTAATAAAAAGCACTCATCAATTCTCCTAAAACATATAGGTACATGGCATTAACTTTTCAAATTTAAGTTGTACCAAAAGAAGTTGATGCAACAAAAAAGAAAAAAAATCACATTAGCGATCCATAATCATATTAAGGCAATGCTTTTATATCCTTAAATTATGTAGGTCATAGAGTAATTCCAAAATGTATATTAGTGATGAGAATAAATTGTCACTGTAAGAAGTGTAATTTTACTTATCGAATCACATTTTCAGTTTTATTGTATTAGTTTAATAAGAGAGAATACTTTCAAAAATGGGTTAACGACAAGACATCAAAGAAACAAACAAATATATGTAAAAAATCTTTGGAAATAAAAAAAATATTGGCATGCAAGAAGTCAAATTTGTATTTTATATATCACATACGAATGATCTTATTAAAAAAAGAATCTCCTTGTGAATGATAAAAGCAACAGCTAGATTTATTACTCATATTGGTAATGATTGGTGACTTTTTCAAATCTTTAAAATTGTATGAGCAATGATCATTTTTAAGTTAAAGCAAAACTTGAAGAAAATTTTAGAGATTCTTTAATTCTTTATCCAAATATAAAATATAAAATAATCAATATGAATATTAGCTAGTTAGGTTTCCCGGAAAGAAGAAATACACACACACACACACCAAATTTTACGCTTGAAGAAAGATCAAATTAAGAAAGCATCTCATAAAGTAACACTAAAAAAAAAAAATTTGAAAACAAAGGTGTGCATACTTGATGAGTCTAAAAGCAAAAAACCAGGCCCTAGTAGATCAAGCATTAAGTGTCATGTCCTTGGATCGTGGGTGAGCCCAACCCCTTTTCTAAAATTTTGTTAAAAAAAATTGCATAAATAGTTTTAATTTGAAATTTAAAGTAACACTCATTTAATCTTTCTGAAAAGAGAAATTCAGTAAATGACGATACATTCAACGTTAGATTATTTTACTTAATGGCAAAAAAATGTTGAACATATGATAAAGACAACATATAATCTACTCTAAATCCTGGAAGGTTATGCCGCCAAACTCTTTTTAGGCATGTTCTCATAGACCAACATCCTACTAGTCCTTGATCAGATGCTCTTGAGAGCCTCTTCACTGCAATTTCCTGTCTATCTTGCAATTCTCTCTGTAAGAACATGTTATGAAAAAGCAGTTACTTCATAAATATTATTTGAAAAGATTTTGAGCTTCACGTGATTAAATTACTTTGTAAACAAAACGACAAAGCCACATCATCCAAACTTATTATCATAATTGAAGTTGTATCATGCCAGTTGAAATGATTCCAAAATCAAAGTGTCAGTTCCTCTAAATCGGTTAATTTCATGTCTTCAGTTTGGTTTGCACCTTGGTTTGTTAGATGTAATCCTACTTTGTTCCACTGTTTTCTTTCCTTCTAGCTGAGTTAAAACATAAAGTGAAAGAAATGAATGAAAGAAAGACAGTTAGTTAGTTAGGAGAAACAGAACATTCTGCTGTGTTCACCAGAAGGTCCAGCAGTACACTACGAAACAAAATATGCAGAAAAAAATGATAGTTAATTTACTGCCCTTGTAACCATAATGACTACTTTCAACTCCTTCTCTTCATCTGTATCCATAGCAGTACATAATTTAGAATCTATATACTGAACAAGTTGAGAAATAAACTTAGCAAGAAATATCATTATATTAAACTTTTATCGAAATATTGTATCTGCCATGACTACTTTCAACTCCTTCCCTTCAGAATGGGCATGGTAGATATAACGATCCGCTCTTCCACTTGAGAATCTTACAACGTCATTTAAGTTTCCAATCCAAAGACATGCTGCCAATAGCAGCATCATATGCGTATGCTGTACAATTGTACTTATTTAAGCATTAAATGCTGCATCTGTCCTGAGAAACAAATGACTGATAGGCAAAATCTGGCACATTTGTCATTGGCAGTTTCAATAACCTCTTTATCTTGATTCAGCACAAGAGTCTTGTCCTCAGATATTGCAAGAATCCCGGATAAATCTCAGATGATTCCTACAGAGCGATTTGTTGGATTTTAAGAGTTGAAGAGTCCAAACTCAAATGCACCATTGGCAGAGTTTACAGTTTCAGAATCTCTGATGAATTGAGGCTCTCTAATGATGTCTAAGGCAATGCTGAAATCTACACAAAAGCCAGAAAGTACAAGAACAACAGGTAATAAGTTTTCAGTTGAATTAATTCCCATCATTTGAAAGAATGCTCCTTAATTGCAGAAGCTTCATATGCAAAACCAAAGGGACCTATAAGGTTATTATATTGCAGGTAAAAGATTAATCTGTTTGTTATTTAAGAAGTCATAATTTTTATTCTTCTTGCGAAGCGCTACTTTGAAGACTGCTTTTTGTCACTATGCTAGTTTACCTCTTTTAATCTTTTTGTCCAAAGTACTCCCTCCTTTCTATACGCCTTCATTGCAATGCATATAAACACACTCCTGCATGTATAAATATTGCTTCAGTGATCCGTGAATGACTGTTTGAGGCAGCAAAACATAGCAATTTTTTTTTATATTTTTAGTTTCTTATTATATATATAGAACAAAGTATTGAAGCTCAATCCAGGAATCCCTTGCCAATGCTTTATGTACTATTCTTCAAAAGCTGGTATGAGAAGTTTTTTCGGATCATTGCCAAAACGTCGTAATATTGAATCCTCTTTCTCGTTTATCTATTTTCCTAATGAAAATATTGGCCTCCCTTTTCTATTCCCTCTTTATGTTTCCTTGCCTGATCCACATTACTTTAACTGTATGCCATCTTCTATTTGACCAACATCTGACAATTTGTGTTTGTAATATGAATATGTTGTAAAAATTGCAAAGGGATGCAATGTATATCAAGAGTTTGAATCCTAGCCAAGGGTATTAGCCAAAAAGGTCCAATCAATGAAAATACTTGTGTGGCGCGCTTATATTCTCCTTTCACAACTTCTCATCAACATGTGAATTCTTTCATCCCTTATTTCTTCTAATATGTTTTACAGTCTTGTCAAGATGAACAGGTGATAGAACTTGCACAGTTCTTATTGATAACAGACCAGTTTGCAAGATTTAACTGAAAGAAATAATCATCTAATCCTACACAAGTTAGGTGCATTTCTTATGCTGTAACACTAGCAATGTAATAAATAAGTTCTTGAAAAATATATCAATAGACAAAGTGCACAGAACAAACACAAATCACATCATGATTTACAAACTAGCATTCGAAGGAGGGAACATGACACATAAATATCCATTAAATATAGCGAACACATTAAATATTTAGGACTGCACGGCAGAAAATTTTTTCACTAGAAACAGGGTTTATGCCTACCCTGTTGAAAGATGTTGAAATATCTTCTGAATATCTTAGATCTTCCAAATGAAACAGAAAAAATAAAAAATCCTATCTATCTCGCCTCAAACTTTGAGATAGTTACATTATTGATGGAACATAAGACACCATTATTTGGAGTTTTCTTTGCAGTACAAGGCATAGTTTGTCTAAGGATGAAT